GGCTTCGTGCAGGACCACCCACACTTTTTGAAGGGCCGAACACAGAGACCTGGTGCACTACATCCCACAAGGTCCCCAAACAACCCCCCTCAGGTTTTGAATTCAGAGTTGTCCTTCTCCTAGACCAGTTGCCCCCCAAGGCTATAGAACCCAGTCTGTCCCGCTATTTAACCCATAGCTGGAGGGAGAAGAAGAGAATTCACACCTTTCCCAAGGGTATTAGCACGTAAGTGAATGTAATTGATTCAACCTGGATTCAACTCGGCTCTCCGATTCCACAATCCAAGCCGATATCCATTACTCCACCATTACTCCTATATATATATATATATATATATATATATATATATATATATATATATATATATATAAAAAAAAATCTCAGGAACAAATAATTCTATCATAAAAAATTGAAGTGTCTAGGGTATGACCTATAAAGTTTTTAGGTTTTAGTATCTGTTTTTTTTTTTTTTTTTATCCAAAGTTCATCTACCAGTAAATAAAAATTTTATCTTTTACAATGGACAAGGAGGACAAGTCTGAGTTGAAAACTGGTTGGGATTGAGGTTACCAACTCCACCCTGTAAACAGCTACGTACTAAGAAGACCAACCACAACTCCTGGAAATCTATAGGGTTAACAACAATACATATATCAAGCATACTGGTTTCACTTTTTCGTCTTTAGTCAGTCAATTAAGTGATATACAAAATACATGCTTGGGTGTTTTTGTTTTTCTTTGTTTTTTTTGATTCATGACTGACAAAGACAGAAGATTTTTCTTGCAGTAGGCTGCTTGCCAACCAAGGCTATATTACCCAGTCTGTTTTGCCATTCAACTCATAGCTGGAGAGAAAAGAGATGGAGACATACCTTTCCAGAGGGTTTTTGCTTGTAAGGGAATGTAATGAACCCAACTGGAATTTGAACTTAACTCTCTAATTTCTCATTCCAAGCCCTTATCTATTACGACCCCACCATTGCACACACGGAAGTTATTTCATCATGACAAATTATCAGTTTTACTTTTTCAAGCTATGCTCCCAAAATGAACAATACATGTCCAAGCTGTTGTAGAAACTATTTCATTATTTTAAATTTCAAGCTGCCAAGAACCCCTGTTTTAACATATAAAATGCATAAATTCTATTTTCATGGATAATGCAGTCCCAACTTTACGAGGCACAGAAAATATGATGCAAGCAATTTTTCAGTTCCTACATGGTATTCTATCATTAAAATAACTTTAAGCCATGAAAATCTTTGGTTCCTTGAAGCAAAGAGGAAGTTTGTTTTTTTTTCTTGCCACAATGTGCTGCCTAACAAATTTTCGAAACCACTTCTAGGAGACACTTTCTGGACTCAGAGATATTTTTTCTCACTTTACACCTTATCCGCTTATTTGTTATCATGTAAACCTCTTGCAGAGAACATCTTTCCTTTTTGGGAAATGCATGAACAATACACACACACACACGTATGTATGTACACACATTCACTTACTACACATACTTTGGACCAAAACAGTTTTCACATGCATTTGACACACACACACACACATCTTTGTCTACATCACTTGTAACCCTTTATTTATAATATATAAGTACAAACAAATGATAATATATTAACATTATAATTTGTTTGTACTTATATATTAGTTATTGTTTCTTTTTATTTCTTTACATGGACTCATATCCCGAGTCTGTCATGTTTGTTTTGGGAATTTCAGGAGACAAGCTTGTTTATCTCTCAATGCATTACGCCGGCCCACAACAAATGTATCCACCAACAAGAAGAAATAATATATACAGTGGTGGGTTTGTGCAAACTGATTCTTAAGATTATAAAATCTTAATGAGCCGGTTGTTGGATACTTAAAATATGGAAGAAAATGTAGTTCCCCTGGAAAGATGCTGAAGTGAAAATACTGAATTTTTGTAAAGTATTTCACTATCTGAGATCTGTGTTAATGATAGAAAACTTAATGAGAAATTACTATAAACATGTTGCACCCAAAACTATCCAAAGAGCTAAAAATAGAATTAATGCCATTGTTAAGTTCTGCAAAGGCTAAAAGAGGGTTTTCTGTGATGAACATAATTTATTCTGACAAAGGAAATCTCATCACAAATTTGATAGGTCTTCCACTGAATCTTTGGGACGGCAGTGATTCAGTTCAAATGTGGATAGGAAAACATTAGAGAGCTGATGACACTAGAGTCACAATGCATCATACTTCTGAAGAAAAATATGTTGAAAACAGAATAATAATGGAAATATCTTAATAAATGTTTTCTATTAAATTATCAAAATGGTTTAATTGTTTTTGATAATATAAAGTAATTTGTTTCCATTCTCAGATTGAAAAAGAAAATAAGCAGAATAGGTTCCTAAAGATTACCTGCCTTTATAGAACTGGTTCCTGTAAATTTGGGATGCCATTATTGATTATATATATAAGTGAACATTGAAGTCAATTTTATATTTATATCTACATACACTATCTCTGACATTGAGCACTTTATCACATAAATATAGCATACCTTAAAACTATATATATATATATATATATATATATTTATAGATACAAGTATTTAAGCAAATGCTCTGTTTATGATAAACAGTATTAAATAACATTTACCGGCCTGAATGTCCGAGAAATTTTCATAGAAAATATTCGTTCTTTGACAGGAAAGTCAGTTTTCTATGAAAATTTCTCGGACATTCAGGCCGGTAAATGTTATTTAATACTGTTTATCATAAACAGAGCATTTGCTTAAATACTTGTATCTATAAATAACGTTAAACATAAAAATGTCTTTAATAAATAAATTGTCGGACCTTGTCCATTTCTTAACATATATATATATATATATATATATATATATATATATATATATACACGTGTGTGTGTGTGTGTAAGCGTATCTTCATTCAAACATGTTTGGTTGAATAATCTAGACATATTATGTATATTTATTTCAATTTGAACCCTTTCAAAATCACAAATCAATTTCTTAGTCCTGTTACAAAAATTCTTGGGGAAAATAAAAGAAATGGCTAAAACTATGGTGTCTTTATTAATTAGTTTTGTAACAGAATTGATCTATGAATTTGGGAGGATTAAAATAAAAATAAATAGACATAATATGTTTAGATTATTCAACCAAACACACACACACATGTGTGTGTGTGTGTGTGTGTGTGTAAATTAACAAAACATACATTTTTTTTTTAAAATGTCATGTTTCTTGAGAACATAAGTGGTCATGGCCCATCACACTTTCCTTTTTCTTATTATCTGAATTGCCATGTCTTGTTCTTTTTGTGTTATTTTTTATTGTTTCACTCCAAGCAAAGTGACAATGCAACTCAAACGCAGGCTTTGTGTTACAGGGAGCAAAATTGAAAGGTAATGAAAAGTCTGACAATGAGGAGGACTGAGAAAAGCGCAATAAAAGAACAAGGTTCAAGAAGACAGAACATTGCGATTGAGGTTACATTTAAACTTTTGAAGATCGTATTTATCGGGGAAGCAAGAAATCAAAAGGTGTTCCACAGGTGAGAATTGCGAGAAAAGAAACTGTTAGAGTAGAAGTGACAGTTGCATTTAGCTTCACAATTTTGTAGTCAGAATAATCCTTGAATAGTACCCACCAAGCCTAGAGAACCTAGTCTACTTTGCTATTTAAATCATAGTGTCGGGGTGTGGGTAGTAGAGTATTAGTGTAAAGTGAAGGAAATTGACTACCCTGGAATTACAACCCGGTTTGCTGATTCATAAAATAGCCATTAGATTAACTGTTCCCATGTGAGTTCTTTTATCCAACTATTTAAAATCATTCTACAGCCTTTAGTTTAAATTTTAGTAACTTTCTGGTTTAATAGAATTTTTTTTTTTAAAGGTACGTTCTTCAGATTAGTAAATCGGTGTTTGGTATTGATTTTTACCACTACAACCACAGATTTTTTATTATTATTATTATTTATAAATTATACTGTTAAAGTTCAACGTTTCAAACAACAAATTAAAAAACAAAACACAGATCGAGTTTAATCGAGAAATTTTAACTAATGATTTTTAGTTTTTCTCTTGCACCAATTTCGTATTAAACGGTTTTTCGGGGACGGAATATGGCACAAGGCCGAGTTTAAAGTGGGAGAACCATGCGTACATGGGACCAGGGAGAAAAAAACTGTTCAAATCTTTTTTTTCGGGAGTTCCTCTTTTTTGTGATACACCAAACACCGGGGCTTAACCCTAGAGCAGTCCGATTCAAGAGGTAATGTCTAGGGCTGAAATATAACACCCTAGAGTTCGAGCAAAATTTTTAATTTTTTCTGTCAACAGGGAGGAAAACGAAAAGGTTTTTATTTTTTTAATGGAATCTTCCAGATTTCTCCCTCACACACACGTATATTTTGCATGTGTAAAAATACTTTAAAAAATATTTTTCAGGATCTGTCTTTGTTTTAGTTTTCATCACGTAAGAAAGAAAATAAAATAAAAATTTGCTGCAAAGAATAAAAACTGTATGTAGCAGTGTATTGTACTTTCTTTTTTTAATAATAAAAAACCATACACAAAAATAAAAGGATTTCAATTGTAAACAAAGCAAATATTTTTACGTTATAAAAATTTAAATAATTTTCCCAAAACAATAATGAATGCTATTATTAATTTTAGAGTCATTTTTTAAAAAGCTAACTTGATCGTTTCGTTTTCTAACTAAATTTTGTAACCGATATACAAAGATAACAATATTGGCTCAGTTATTATTTCAAAATAATCGCTTCAAAAATGAAATGAATAACCGAAGTCAGGTGGTTGTTTTCACTGTAAAAAAATATCCAAACAATGACAGAAAAAAAGAAATCGATTGTTAATTAATTTAAATAAAACACTCAACAAAGTATCTAATTGTTTTTCACTTAAAATTCTCAAACTGTAACAAATACCTATCTATTTTTTTTTCTACAAAGTAACTCGAAGTACTTACATCGTGAATAATGAATGACTTCACTGTCCGACACTGCACACGAAGTGAATACGTTGCTGGTTGTCAGCAAAATGCGTGATTTCGAAATGACGCCGAGCCTTTAAATACGTACTTGCTGCCGATTGGTTCATTGTCCCGTGCACTCAGTGAATGACACAAAAAGCTCTCTCGAGCATGTGTTCGTGATTTAATTGTTTCTAAATGTAGTAAGTGGTGTTGGTAACCCGAGTTCAAATCTCGGCCATTTTTTTTTCATGTTGTGTTGAGTGTTCTATTCTAATTTTATTATTTAAAAAGCTGTGTTCAAATATCGGCGATTTCACTGAGTTTTCTATGCCATGCTTTCAGAAATGGTTCTCAAATCTCCGTATTTCGTTGCTCTAAGTAACTTTTATTTAGTTTTTTTGATTATCAAATTTTATTTTTTTCTGTCCCCACATTTTTTTCTTGCACCCCCCACTCCGAATCTGGGATACGGGGCCCCTACTCTGTTACTTACATCAAATAAAATACAAAAATCGTATGTAATAGGTGAACAATTCAACTAGAAAATTTCTCCAACTTTTTAAGAAGAAAAATCTCTAATTTTTCCTCATCTTTGTTATATCACAAAAATCCGAAAATGTTTGCGTAGGGTTGTAAATGATAATTAACTCCTCAGAAAATTAGACAGAAAAAATTGTTTTCTTCAGTTAAAGAAACAAAACAAATCGAAACACTGATTCATGTGTGAGCATAAAAAATAAAAATGTTTAATGAACGATGTATTGGTTCACGTCACACTCCTCCACGGTCTTTAGAACAGAAGTGTCTAATGACGTGTGTCTAATTAATTGATATTTTTTTTCTTGTTAAAAAAAGTTAGAGAATTTTTTAATACATTTTGGATAAAAAAAATAGTCGATTTTATTTTGTTATTTTTTTTCTCGAGACTCTTAGCATGAGCAAAACAAATAAACGTGAATAAGACCCCTGAATGACGTCAAAATCCGCGAAAATTTTAATTTCTATAACAGTCAGTTATGCTGACATATACAAAAATAGCGAATGTTATAAAGCACTGCCTGGGGCCCCGCCCAATCAGCTCTGCATGTCGCTGGTCGAGTTATTCGTGGGTAGTACGCCTTAGCCCTGTGGGAGTCGAAGAATTAAAATGTTCTGGTCTGTTAGTGTGGAGATGTGGAAGTCATCAAAGTAGGGGTTTCCGTTACTTCCTTAATCCAAATAGTGATTTTCCAAGTGTAGATTAGATGTGGCACAAGGCCGAAAGTATGGGGCACCTAGTGAGGATCGAACTCACGTCAATCGTAATTGTTCTAGCTTGCTAACCATTACATCGCCTCGAGGAATCCAAATATACACCAATTGATGGCCTTTTAAAATGCATGCAAAGATAGTTAATACAAAGATTGCATATACTGATAAAAATAAATTGATATCTCTCAAAATAAAATATACAATGATTGAATCATTATTCAAAGAAGTTCCTATCAGAAAGTTCTTGTGCTGAAACTCTTTAGGTCCTTATATATATATATATATATATATATATATATATATATATATATATATATATATATATATATATATATATAAAGAGAGAGTGTAGTCTTTGTTACTGTGTATGTAGGGAATAAATATTTCTTAATAGCAGCAATTCTTTCGACTCTCTCTGTGGGATTTTTATGTGTCCAAAGCTTTAGGGACAGCGGACGAAATTCTTTTCAGTGACCGGTCCGGTCCATTTGCCTGCTTGTCAGTGTCTTAACACAGCGAACAGCGGGGGAACCAGACCATATATGGCAGCAGTATTCCATGCAAGGGCAAGAGTGATTTTTTTTTTATTATTATTTTTCTATCACTACACATCCATTCACTCGAATTCTGCACCTGATTTCATTTTGACGTCCCCAGTACGTGACACAAGCTTTCAACTGTAGCTTTTGTTGACAACTATGCTTTCAGTTTTCCTAGTGTTAATAGACTTTTCTTTCTTTCTTATATACATTGTTTTTTGTTTGTTTTTTTACTATTATTAATTACTATTACTATATTACTATTTTATTAACTATATTACTATTTTATTAATAGTTAGTCCTTTTTTCTGCGTTGTCCAATAGTTATTTCATTTATATTTCACTCTGACATCAAATATTTTTCATGGAGTTCTCTTGAGATGCCAAAGTTGGCATAAATAAACTATATGTTCTGCTTTCTTTTTAAGAAAAATAAAAATGCAACTCTCTCTCCCCCCCTCTCTCTCTCTCATACTCATATACGCACACATAAATTTATTGATTGATTCGTTTTTTTTACAGCTTATCAACCCATTGCAGTTTATTTACAGCCAAAAATATTTTTAAATTTGAAACATTTATTTTGGCGATAATAGTGATTTACTGATACAAGTCTTACTAATTAACCCATAGCTGGAGGAAGAAGAGAGGGATTCATACCTTTCCCAAGGGTATATGGATGTTATGGCTATTAGTGCTGGGTTGATTCTTTCACCTAAACATCCAAAAACTTGTTGAATGCCTTCGTCGCTGAAATAAATTGACAAAGAAAAGACGGAAGGACACAGAGACACTAGAGGGACAGTTTAGGACACTGATTTTATTTCCTTCTTTTGGATTCCAACGAGCTCTTGTTGGGGAATTTCCTTCCCGAACAGTTGGCACGTGTTCACCAGTCAAAGATCCAACAGAGAAAGAGACAGATTCTTCTAGTTTATCTTTGGCGCCAGGAAATCTCTCTCTTTTTTTTTTTTTTTTTGCACATGCGTAAATTGTCTTTCCTGTCAGAGGACTCCTGGGAGATTTTAATGTTTATTTTATTTTGTATTTTTATTTTATTCCCACAGGTATTTACGTTTAAATGAATATAATGAACCCGGGTGGAATTAGAACTCGTTTCTCTGATTAACAATTCCGAGCCAATGTCCATTACACAGCCTGCACATCCATGCTTAGAGTACCTGGCGTTCCCAAGCGGTCACCCATCTAAGTACTGACCAGGCTCGATGTTGCTTAACTTTGATAATCGTACGGGAAGTGGTCTTTCAGCGTAGTATAGCAGTAAAGCTACAGAGTACGAGGGACAGTTTATAGGGACGATAACAGTTAACCCAAAACTTGAACAGCTTAAGGATGTGTGGCTTCCATATAAGTGAAGACAAAAAAAAAACTACTTATCTGAATTCAAATGTCCCATTTTGGAAGTAAAATGTGATGTGATATATTTCACAACAATCTGAAGTACAAGAGACCGTCGATCAAGCAAATCGAACCATCACTAATTAACAGCACCAAAGGCTGGACTCCATTCCAAGAAAAAGATACGGAGTGATTGGAAGGGTGTTGTCTTCTTAGGAGCTTCTGGAAAAGCAAATAATTGATTCGAACAAATAGTTTTCCCAATTAGATCAATCGAAAGCAGAAATTGTAAAAGTGTACATTCGACCTTAGTTAAAAAAAAAAATGCATCATATTCTATCAGGATAATGCTTGAAGTATCATTTCCGTGATAATGAGGTTGTCGGAGTTAGCTCCTCTTTAATTCCCTAATTGTCCACTAGGGGACGCTCTCCCTACACTATAAATACTGGGCAACTTCTTACCTCGTTCTCTTTTCTACTTTGCATTTCAGCGAACACATTTAAAAATGTAATCTCTCGTAGAAATCCGCGTTTTGCCCACTTATGGGAAAACGCCATGAAACACATATACACGTACGTACGAACATTCACCAAAATACAAACTCTTTACGTCCACACACAAACACAAATGTTGTTGTCTTTGTCACTTGTAAATTCGTTGTTTAATACATATATTTGTTGGTATATATATATATATATATATATATATATATATATATATATATATATATATATATATATCGGTCTTGTTTGTTTTCTTTACATCTTCGGTTGGACTCAACTTCAGTCCGCCATTGTTCTTGTAGTTGAACCTTCTAGCGGGAAGGTGTGTCTAATTTAACAACACGTAAACCCACACGGTTCTCTACAAGGTAAAAACTGTTCCAATTTAGCTGAGAAGTTTTCCCTCATCAACCGTATTTATCAGATATTTGCACCAGTTGATTACTACTTATTCCGGAGGACGAAATTTTCTGAAGAAGGCTTGGAGAATTTGACACCCACAAGGTATATTGATGGCAAAAAGGACAGAGGGAAACATCGAATAACAGATCAGTGTACTTGAACATCAGAACAGGGAGTGGGAGAAATAGAAACAGGATAAACATTAGTTAGAACTACGAAAGACAGGATGTTGTGCAGAATCAGGAACGCCCAAAACACATAAAAGAAGATTTAATCACAAGATTAAAAAAAATCTGGCTCTTATAAAAAGAATATCAGAGTGAATACCCACCGGTTTAAAGCGCATTAGCATTTGAAAAAAATCTCAGTGAAACATAATGAAAAAAGGGTGGTTGGAAAATTTAACACACCCAGGGCATATTGACGGTAAAAGTGGCAGATGGAAACATCGTAAATGAATAGCAAAACAAGGACTGGGAGGGTAACAAGAGGACAAACATTACTTAGTTATGATGGATAGGAAGATATGGAGAGTCATGACAGCCCATGGATTTTGAAACTCGTCTCTCCGATCAACAATTCCGAATTATTATCCATTATACCACCTGCATCCGAGCTTACAGTACAGTTCACAAGCGGTCACCATTCTAGATACTGACCAGACGCGATGTTTCTTAACTTCCTTGATCTTACGGGAACCAATATTTCAACGTGATATGGCGTTAGTCAAATTATCGGTTTCTAGGAATTTTAGTCGAAAAATATATCAGATGGAAAGCCCAACATTTAAAACATCCAGTAATAAAAGATATAAAAGATTTGAAACTACTTCCCTTTGAAAAAAAAAGCTGTTTTATTTGACCCAACAAGTTTGAACTGGTTACAAGTCAAAAGGCATTTCAGTATAAAAAAAATACCAGATTTACCATAGAAACAAAGCAAGTGGCTGATCCAGTTAATGCTAAAAAATATCTTTAACACGTAGCTTAGATGTGGCACTAGGCCGAAAGTATGGGACACCCAGTGAGGATCGAACTCAATACTCAGCCGTAAATGTCCTAGAAAGACAAGCTTGCTAACAATTACACAGCCTCGAGGTCCCCATATAATGTCACGTATAATATATAAAGAAATATTCATTTTTTGTGTAAACTAGAAATTGATACCTTTTTCCTCATATCATGATACGGCACGTAAATTTTAAGGTTTTTTGGGGTTTTTTTTGTACTTGACAAGATAATTTCAACTGATGAATATGTATACATTAACAAAATTTCACATAGAATATGAGGCAACCAAAATGCATTTGAAATTCCCAGAAGAGGAGAAAGGAATCAATTTACAATTTTATAAATATTTGGTCGGAACAAACATTCGTAGCGTTTTCTAAGCGAATTTCAAAGACAATATTTAGAACTTTTGTATATCCAGTCATTGTACCATTTTGTTCCATTACCTTTCGACGTTTTTGAGGCAGCTTCATGATTTAATCCCAGAAGTTGCTATTTTTATGGATGTGGAACTGGTCTAAGTGGCTTTTACAGGCTTCTGGAGAATTAAAGTTCTTGCCATTAACGTAATTTTGTAGGGATTGAAGTAAGTGGCAATCCAAATGTAACAAGTTCAGGGAAGAAGACGAATCCTTGTTTTACTCTTGTTATATTTTGTATTCACTTACAACGTTCTCTGTCCACATGCAGGCTGATTGTTCCCACTATAGATGATGAATGTTTTTTCTTTTTTTAATTTACTTTTTCTTTTCTTATTAATTTTTTTGTTAGAGTTGTTTTGAAACCTTTAATTTAATTTTAAATTTAATGTTTAATTTAATTATTTTCAAACTTTATTTCATTCGCATTTGAAATTAGTTTTCAATGGTCTTCAACACCGCCTGTTCACAATTTCACTAATATTTTTTGAAGATTTTTAAAACCTAAATTAACTTTTGTTTACAAATCTGTCGATATGTAAAAAAATATATCCGATTTTACGAGTGACAAAAAAAAAATCGATCCAAATCATTATAAGTTCTATTGGAAATACACCAGAGTATTATGTTATCTGGAAATAGTAAATTTAATCCTTTAGCTTTCAATTAAAGATGAAATGAAAGCTTCAAGAAAGCTTTTCTATTCATAAAAATTCATTTTAAACCTTAGGTATCGTGAAAAAATGAAAGTTCCTACTTTTGTGCTTACAAACTGCATTCATCATGAAATGGCAATAAAAACTGGAACCTTCTCGCGTGAGAATGAGGCTCTACAGATAAAGGATATGGCAGTGATGACATAGGGTCGTAAAAGCTGAAATTCCTGGTGCCAATGATGATCCAGTCTTGAATGATTTGGTAAAAAATGCATGATACATGGTCCTTACGGAACATATCATCATTCTTCTCCGTGCATGGAAAATGGTTCATGCCAAAATAAATTCTTGTAGAACTACAGAGATGAAACGCTTCTGAATTTGAATGGCTATCCAGAGTACAGAAGACGTAATACTGGAGTCATAGTTCAAGTTGGACGTCACTCAGTTGACAATAGGAACATTGTACCATACAATGTCTACTTGTTGAAAAAGTACAGAGCTCACATTAATATAGAAATTTGTTCATCAATGAAAAGCATTAAATATATCTCCAAGTACGTTTTCAAGGGACATAACTCTTCTTTTGTTGAATTAAGAGAAAACCTAGGGACAGATCGTGAGAAGAAGAATCAAGCTCACGATGAAATTAATAATTATCTTCCTTGCTTCCGGTATGTTTCTCCTCCGGAAGCTATGTGGAGTTTGTCAGAGTTCAAGTTACAGGACACATCTCACAATGTCTACAGATTTGCTTTACATGTTCAAGATCAACAAAGAGTTTACTTTCACAGAGGCAACGCTCAGCAAGCTGCTCAGGCACAGAGGGACCTTGACACTACCCACACTGAATGGTTTAAACTGAATGAGCATGATGATGATGATGATGATGCAAGGGAAACCACTTATACCCTGACATTCTGATGCATTATGTGTTTAATAAGAAGATGGACATCAAGGCAAAAGAATATGAATATCATCAGTAGAATGTATACAGTGAACCCTAGGGACAGAGAAAAACTTAATTTGCGAATGTTGCTGTTGCATATTTCAGGCACCGTGAGCTTCTAGGATTTGCGCACTGTAGAAGGAGAAATCTTGCCAACATTTAAGGCAGTATTCTTGAGATATGGTCTTCTTCTAAACGATGACACACTGGAAGATGCATTGCTAGATTCTACTGCCTGTTGGATACCCTTACAGTTGAGTGTTATGTTTGCTTCCCTTTTTCACGTATATGGTCCTTGCAAACGCTCTTCACCTGTCGACCACTCACAAGGAATCCATGATTTAAGATTTCTTGCACCAAGATTTTAATGCTGACCATGCAGAAAACACGGGTACTGCACTCAATTCATGCAATTCTGTTAGAGAATAGCATTAATTGTTTAGCAATTGGGCTTCCCTGACCTATCAGAGTACCGCAGCTTGACCATCGTGACGACCTCGATCACCCAGACATTGTAACACTTACTAATGGACAGAGACTGATTGCTAATGCTGTGCTGGAATCTGTAGATAAGAAGAGGTGAGGTAAGGTGCCCCAAAACATCTGTTTCTATGTAGCTGCACTAGAAGGTTGTGGTAAATCATATATGTTTAATACCATAATTTCATATCTCCATAGGAACAACTGCAACGTGTGCAGTGGTGTTTGGACAGGTATTACCTCTACACTACTGTCAGGTAGAAAGGGGGTGCGGGTCGTTAAATTTTCCACATTCTACCATAGATTAGAAAATCGTCGATAATTTTTCGACTGTTATTTTTTTAATAATTCTGACATCTTTCTTCGAAAGATTTCTGGCACTGAGGCTGCACCAAAAGATAATCTTTTGAACCAATAACTCCCAAAATGAGTAATAAAGGACGGAATTTCGTAGAATCCACTGGTAGCATCCATTTTAGAAAAAAAAATAGCTACAATTAGTTTAGGTGATTTGTAGAGGAGCGTGGGTTTAAGTGTTGCTAAATTAGGATCACGTGCGTTTATTTCTTGCTAGAAGAAGGTCCAACTAAAAGAACATGGCGGACTCAAGTTGAGTACAACCGAAGATGTAAAGAAAACAAACAAGACCGATATATATAGATATATATATATATATATATATATATATATATAGTTAAGTTATGAAGAACTTGGTAAACCAAATGGGTAATTCCAAGGAGGATACAATCCTGAGAGCTCAATGTGAATACAGAGCTAATATTTAATGAAAAACAGACCACTTTAAGGTACCTTAAAGTGGTCTGTTTTTCATTATCTATCTATCTATCTATCTCTCTCTCTATATATATATATCAACAAATATATGTATTAAACAACACAATTTACAAGTGACAAAGACATCAACATTTGTGTTTTTGTGTGTGAACGTAAAGATTTTGGTGAATGTTCGTACATACGTGTATATGCGTTTTATGGCGTTTTCCCACAAGTGGGTGAAAACGCGGATCTCTGCGAGAGATTACATTTTAAATGTGTCCGCAGAAATGCAAAGTAGAAAGAGAACGAGGCAAGAAGTTGCCCAGTACTTACAGTGTAGGGAGAGCGACCCCTAGTGAACAATTAGGGAATTAAGGATGAGTTAACTATGACAGATTTTCATAAAAATTTGGAAACATGTAATGTGTCCTTTTTCACTGCTAGATTCAGCTTCTTCAAATCTACACATATTCGGGCTTTTCTGTTTCTTTTTATTATGGATTATATAGGCGCACACCAATCAATTCTGTAACCTTTTCAATAATTCCCTCGTTTTCTAGTTTGTTCAATTATTCCTTCACCTTTGGTAAAATAGGGAATGGGACTCTCCTAGTTGTTGTGACACAGTTGAGTAGGGTAAAGCGTCTTTTTTCAAAACTATTTTCACTGGGTCTCCATTCATACAAACTCCTGCGTCAAATGAAGTTTCCTGTTCTATTTTTGTCTAAATGTTTCACCAAATTCATTTTTACAGACGTTTAGACCATAAGTTCTCTCCCTTTACCCATTTGATGACATACTGGTGCAATGGATAAATTGTCGTCTAAATTACTGTTTATACTCGCGTATCACGCTAACTTTGAAGACGTAATTTTGAAGATAATTTGACTACAGCAAATGGATATATAGTTTGAACAACAGGGCCAACAATAGATATGTTATATCTCGTGTACGAAGCGACCCCCTTAAAATTAGCTTCAAAATTAGGCCTTCAAATGACGCGAGTACGATAACCCCGACATTTCAATTTAACGGATATATTTACTAAAATTACAAATGTATTCAATAAAATCGCCATTGGTTTCAACCACAGCCTCCAGATGAGTTCGGAATCTTCTACAACTCTTCTGGATTGTCTCCTTATTTAAGTTCATAAATGCTGCCATAATCCTTGCCTTGTGTTACCTTTGGTTACAGGGAGTTTTGTTGGTCTCTATATATAATAATCAAGAGGGTTGGTTAGGTAGCCAGATGTAAGGTGTTTGCAGAAATTGTCTGACAGTCATGACTAGGTTCTGCTGCTTATGTGGTATGGTGCAGAGTCCTGTTGCCAGACATTGGACAACTACCCTCTTGATCTAGATCCGCATTACCTTCTCAAAGCTCTTGATGTAGGCTTTCGTGTTGAGTCTGGGACCCTCACCAACAAATTCGGAAGTTTTTTTCTTATCAGAACGCTCAGAGTGAGTTTTCCGAGTTGCCGTACCTTCGTAATTACCATTAGACTCATTCTGAATCCTCTGCAATGTTCTCAGATTGACATCCAAACATCCTGAAATGTTCATATTGGAGCTTCCAGCGCGAATACCAAGCAGTACAGCATGCTGTTTCCATATTTCTGGCGGAGTATAAAAACAACAATAATGGCTAAAAAAAAGGAAAAAAAAAATTGGATAAACGTCTTACAAATTGAAATGAGAAATGTACCTCTCGCTGTCACTGGAACCCAACTACAACCTCCAAAAACCATGAAGAGAACCTAATAGTTCTGCCGATACCAAATATAATTAAAAAGAAAAATGTTAAGCAATTTTTTGAAAGATGACTAAGCGGGAAATATCACTCGTTTGGAAGGACTGTTACACTCAGCTAAGAAATCCTCCGTACTCTGGATACTATGCCAGACATGAAAATACCTAATAACAGAACATTCTTAAAAAAAAAACTCACAGTCGTTTCTGAGAGATTAAAAAAAACAAGACGCCACAAAACGATTGTAAGAAACATTTAAAAAAAAGTGGCCCCTGAACAAACCGAAACAAATTGCTGAACTCTCAAAACAACACCCATTGGCAAAAAAAAAAAAAAAAAAGGACTACACGTTTCAGGAGAAGAGTTCATAAAAAAACAAAACAAAAACAAAAAACAATGACTATTTTATTTTAAATAAAGTTCCATCACAAACGATTAGCTTCACTAACTTGGTGGGGATGTGATGAAGGAATATTATTATTATTATCATAAATCTAGAAAATAAAATAATAATATAAAATATAAAATAATAATAATGAAAATTATAAATTAAATAAAACAATAACATAAGAACGTTATATAAAATAAATTAAATTAAAATTAAAAATAATAACTATATGCAACAAAAACTGTTCCTGCCGGAAATACGGACATCCCGCCAAAAGACGTTAAATTCAATCTCTTCGCTAAAAACCTTATACGGGCAACACGTTTGTAACTTCTCTCTGTAATATGGCTTGTAATACTACGGAGTAAATTTCTCCCTTTTATCACATAAAACAATTGTAACCTAAAAATACACACGAAAAATATAAATAAATTGTAAATTAACGTACAATTTACCATGTTTTTCCGGTTATTTGTGTACGTTTTATTTCTTGTTAAGTCTGCTTTTATCTCCGTGAACACAGGGATAATTTCTGCTGCTATGATGTGAGTTAAAGAGGGTTTGGAAATTTTAACACTTCCAAGGCATAATGACAGTAATAATGGCAGATGGAAACATTGTAAATAAATGGCAAAACAGGGACCGGGAGGCTCGCAAGAGTACAAACATTACTTAGAATTATGACAGATAAGAAGATGTGGAGAGACATAACAGCTAATAGCACATAAAAGAAGATTCACGAAATTAAAAAAAATGTTGGCTGATTCGTTTTCGATAACTCTTTGCAGATTATTTAAAGCCAAAAAATATTTCTCGATTCTAAGTTTTTTTGTTTTTTTTAGTTAAAAAAGATTTAGTGATACAAATCTTATTTATTAACCTATCGCTGGGCGGGGGAAGAAAAGTTGGATTCATGCCTTTCCCAAAGGGAATTTGCGCGTAAGTAAATATAACGAACCCGAGTGGAATTGGAACTCGGCTCTCCGATTAAGAATTCTATGCTAAAATCTACTACACCACCCGCACATTTAAGCTTACAGCACAATTCAAAAGTGGTTACCAATCTAGGTACTGACCAGACGCGATGTTTCTTAACTTCCTTGATCTTACGCCACGGGAACCAATATTTCAACGTGATGTGGCCATAAGCCAAATTATCGGTTTCTAGGAAATTTAGTATAAAAATAAATCAGATGGAAAGCCCAACATTTAAAATATCCAGTAATAAAAGATATAAAAGATTTGAAACTACTTCCCTTTGAAAAAAAGCTGTTTTATTTGACCCAACAAGTTTGAACTGGTTACAAGTCAAAAGGCATTTCAGTATAAAAAAATACCAGATTTATCATCGAACAAATCAAGTGGCTGATCCAGTTGATATTAAAAAATATCTTTAACACTTGTGACATATAGTGATTTTCCAAGCGTAGCTTAGATGTGACACAAGGCCGCAAGTATGGGACACCCAGTGAGGATCGAACTCACTACTCAGTCGTAAATGCCCTAGCAAGACAAGCTTGCTAACAATTACACCGCCTCGAGGTCCCCAGATAATGTCGCATATATTGCATAAAGGAATATTCATTTTTTGTGTTAACAAGAAATTGATACCGTTTTGCTCATATGATACGGCACGTAATTTTAAGATTTTTTTTGTTTTTTTTATACTTGACAAGATAATTTCAACTGATGAATATGTATACATTAAACTTTCACAGAGAATAGGAGGCAAACAAAATGCATTTGAAATTCCCAGAAGAGGAGAAAGCGATCAATTTACAATTTTATAAATATTTGGTCGGAACAAAAATTCATAGTGTTTTCTAAGCGAATTTCAAAGACAATATTTACAACTTGTGATTGTACCGTTTTGTTCCATTACCTTTCGACGTCTTTGAGGCAGCTTCATGATTTAATCCCAGAAGTTGCTATCTTTATGGATGTGGAACTGGTCTAAGTAGTTTTTACAGGCTTCTAGAGAATTAAGGTAATTTTGTAGTGACTGAAATATGTGGACAATCCAAATGTGACAAGTTCAGGTAAGTATGCGGTGTAGTAGGACTTCAAGTTGGAGCAATTTTTGCTGGGGT